TCGAGGAACACAGCTATTGTCGGTCTGCGGTATGCGTGGCGCTGCTCTAGCACCTGCCGCAAAGTGAATATATGGTCTATGCACCCACGTCCTGGGTGGAAACCTGCCTGCTCTTCCCTAATTCAAGATTCCTGTTCCGCAGTGAGGCGACGAACGATAATCGAGGCCAATAATTTTGTCACAAGTGGCGTTAGGCTAATACCCCTGTGGTTAGAACAGTCTGTGTGACTGCCCTTCTTGTATATGGCCAATATCATCGATTCGTTCCAATTAGCCGGAACACTCTTCCTTCCAGATACATTCGAATAGGGATGTCAGTGCTTCGCAGAGGAGGTAATCTCCATCCTTAAATAGTGCAGGTGGGAGGGAATCCGGGCCAGCGGCATGAAAACGATTGAGGGCTGTGATCGCGCTTCGGACCTCGGTCTCCAACGGAAGCTCTAAACTAACCGTCCATGGTTCGTACTACATCACTTGAGTAGGAAGAGGTACGGGAGCAGGGGGCCAGCTGAACTGAGCGTGAAAGTGTTCCGCCCGAGCCGTACGGCGTTCCTTATTGTGTATCAGTGCACCCGCACTGTCTCTGATTGTCTCACTGACACCTGGTTTCCTGGGATCAGTGGTGCGAATCAACCGGAAGAGCTTGCGGTAATTGTCTAATAATAATAATAATAATAATAATAATAATAATAATAATGTGTCAGCTGTACGCCGTAACGGCGCTTCGCTGCCGCGCGACCACCACCAGTCGCGTGCGGGCTAGTATGCCGCGAGGACGCCCACCCCTAAGCGGATTCGAATCGGTGACCTTATGGTTGCAAACCGAACGCGCAGAACACTCGGCCACCGGCCTCCTGCATTTCTTGAGACCGAGTGGTCCATCAGGCTTCCTTGTCAGCACATAGGCTCCGCTTTAGTTCGCGCCTAATAGCCCGTCTGGTCACATTGTGCTCAGAGCCAGCCGGAAGGTGTCTTCTAGATTCCAACAGGTTCACGGACCTCTCGGATATCCAGTGACTGGTGCGGTGACGATTGATAATGCCACAAGCAGATGCTCCTGCGTCCTGCATGGCGGCCGAGATCCTATCCCACTGAACCTCGGTGTCATCAGAAGAATAGAGCGAAAGTTCGGTATGCAGTGTCTTGATAGGCTTGCCTGACCGAGGACTGAGACAATTTCTCCGTTGCCAATCGGAGGAAACGCTTGGTGCGTATCCCGGTAAAGTTCATGGAGAAACGACAGCGTACCAAGCCATGATCAGAGTCGACGCAGGTACTCCAGTACCAGCGGCAATCCAGAATGGAACCACGCCATCTGTAACTTATGGCTATGTGGTCGATTTGGGCCCATCGCTGGCCAGCTACAGGAGGACGCCAAGTGGCACTTCGGCCACTGTGGCTAGAAGCAGTGCTAGTAAGAAACTACTGGTACTCCGCACACAGTTGCAGCAGACGCTCGCCGTTGTTAGTCCATTCGGAGCTAAGCCCATAATTACCACCAAGCTGAGCTTCTGAAGAGCTCAGACGCCTTAATTGTGCGTCCATATCCCCTGCAAGTACTATAATATCAGAACCAGTAGCACTGCGTAGTAGCGCGTTCAGTTCGTGATAGAATGTGTCCTTGATAGCATTAGAACTGCAGTCAGTGGGAGCATAAGCAGAAATCACAAACAAACAGCGTTTGTACTACTTTGTGAATCAACCTTAGCTGATGTCGTCAAACGGGCTGCACATAAACGGCTGTTCACCGGAATCCAACCAACCAACGACGGCTCAGCCTTGGAGTTTAGAATGATACCTAGACTAACTTAACCCGTGAGTGCTGCATCGTCGTCTCCAGATGCGTGCAACCAATAGCGAGAAGATAAGCCGAGTGTAGTTAATTCAACAACCCCGTTAAGGTCATTGATCTTAGTTTCGGACACACAACACACATCAATACCCAGTGTGTGCAAGGTGCGTGCGAGTGCAGCCAGTTGACCTATTTGTCTTGGAGTGCGGACGTTGAACGTCCACATGGAAACTGGATAGCGTGGCCTTATAAGGGACTGTTGCCGATAGGCGTCCGATGGGTGTCGCGAGAAGGTGGTTGCAGATAGTTCTACTCCAGTGGCACTTCGGTTGCTGTCAATTAAGCTGGAAATTATAGAAGGAAGGTTAGTAGTGGGAGCTAGGATGGAACTAGGAGAAACAGGTGGAAAAGAAAGAAGGGAAGCGCCAGCAGTAGCATGCATTCGCTTATCCACCCTGCTGTATGCAGTAGATAAGGCGACCCATGATAATCTGCGCGACGGCCGATGCAGGATGAAGTTTGTGTTTGAAGAAAAAGTCATGGTTGTATGTGAGCTGAGATATTGCTAGGGTGAAACAACCAATAGGTAGCGGCGACCCTTTTCCGGGCATTTTCGGTTGTTTTGAGGTAAGGAGACACAATCGCTTCGAGGTCCCTTTCCTGAGGGACATTTCTAAACAAGAAACCTCAATATGGTACGCTCCAAATGGATCGCGAGTACCAGTCGGGACGACGGAAGATTTATCCCGGTTAGAGATAATTGTCAGTTTATCTATCAGTCGTGGAATCTTTTGAGCCTTTATTGGAGCAGGTCTGCATCCTCTAGACTAGATAACACAATTCAAAGCTTTAAATCTACATAAATCAGACATTCCGTCTACAGCTCAAAAGGGAGGTCAGAAGATATTGAAGAGTACAGGGTCAAGGACAGAAGCCTGTGGGACTCCACTGGTCATAGGGAAAGGATCAAAAAACATATCATTCACTGGCACACCGAAATATTTCCACTTCGGATACGGTCCTGGCGATCGGAATGAGGTTCACCTCAAAATGAACCGAGGTCTCAATAGACGTTGCGTATCGCAATCCAACCACGCAGCAGGCTCACCAAATCCAACTTCGTATCAATCACTCTTACCTGCGCAGGTCGACTGTCCAGGGAATTGGAGATCCAGGAAACGAATGCCCGGCAACGTCAATTCCGCGGAGTTTGAAAAGAAGCCGCTCATGCGGAACCTTGTCAAATGCCTTGTAAAAAGCAACAAACACATCCAATCGTTTGTCAACATCTAGTGATCTCATCCTTGCCACAAGCAAGTTTGCGATGCATGAGTTAGCGCTTCCAAATCCATGTTAGGCAGAGATAAAATCTAACTTTTCGAGATGGAGGTAGATTACCCGTTTTAGTGTCCGTTCAATCACTTTGCACACTACAAATAGGACAATTCGCTGGATCATGTTGGTTCCCTTCTTTAAATACATGCTTGATGATGCCCGATTTCCATGAAATAAAAAGACGCCCGGTATCAAAAACAGACGGAATATCTGACAGACAGGTACGGTAATGGGTTCGACTACAGTTTAAAAAATAATGGACGTAGGCCATCAAGATCAAGCGAAGAATATGGGTTTAAATTAAAAAAACGTTTCAGTACAAAATCAGTGTTAACATCCAAGTGCTCTAACAAGAAAGGAAGCATTGGCAAGGAGCTGCAGAGACATTTCTGTTGAACACATCGAAGAATATTGCTGAACTAAAAGGCTGGCTTTTTCTGTGTCTTCATGGACTAAAGCAATATGCCCACGGGAACACAAGGCAGGGATGACACTGCCGGCTGTGATACTTCGCTTGATGTATCAGAAAAGCGCTTTGGATGTCGTCCTGGAAACAGTAACTAATGACAGTTTGTATAGTTGACGTTTCTCTCGTTTCTGCATAGTACAAACGCTCCTGATTGCTTTATAGCGAGAATAATCGATGTTTGATCGTGCTAGCTTAAAACAATGCCACCGTTTACGCCTTTTGCTCGTAAGGGATATTAATTAGTGATCTAGCTAAGGTGAGACTTTATAAAACGGTCTTCTCTCGGAGACAGGGACGGTCTGTTCGATGAGCGACATTAGCTTGAAGTTCAAAAGTTTCCACGCATCACCAACACTGAGGTGCTCAGGGATACTCCAATCCACAGCGCTTGCAGCCACTTTAAAACAAAGTGCATCTGCATGACAGAAATTCTGATGGTCGGTACATTGGATGTGGAAAGCGAAGCGACGGTCCACTGGAAAGAAGCAGCACAGTGGTCACTTCCGCCAATGGGCTTGATAACGGCTAGGTTTGTGATGTCTGATTGCGCTGAGGAGAGCACAAAGTCTAGAATGTGCGGTGTCTAACCTGAGAAAGTACGAGTTGGTGTCATGACATGTAGAAAATGATTGCAATCCAGGACGCTTTCAAGTAAGGCAGCATCGAAGTGGTCGGATGAAGAATCACAAAGAAGCAAATCCCAATCAACACCTGGTGCATTGAGATTCACGTTGATTCATGTATTCACAGTACGTACGTACTGCGTCGTAAGTACATACAAAACATTATGTCCCAAAAATTAGGGCTCTGCGGAAGTGCTGTGCAATGCAACCCGAAGTATCTACCTCGCCTGCTCTGTTGCTGTGCTGTTCGTCGCCGAACTACAAATAGGATGATAGACAGCAATTAGCCGGCTCACCTTGGCTTTCGAAATGTTAAGCAGGATCCACGAATGTACCATTCTTCCTTGCATGTCTGCTGGTGCCTCAAGTTACAGCAATAACCGGAAGCATAGACGGAAAGGATATCTATCGTTTGCTAGTGAAGGAATTTAGAAAATTGAGCGTGAGAAAAGAATGTATTCATAAGTACAAGGGGCTTTGGGGTGCTCCACTGAAAGTGGCGTCCAGGTCAACAACCGATAGACTGCAACACAATGTTATAGATGCAACGCAAACAAAGTTTCCTGTGTTTGTGCAATGGTTGAATCTGATGACAGCCGCCGGCGGAGGTTGCTTCGTGTGCTCTGCAATCATTTGCAGACGCATTTAGTGACGTCACCTGCGCAAACGCCGGTGCCAGCGAACCTGTTCAATAATACGTCTGTGAAACAAGTTACAGTGCGGTTGCGCAACAAACATAGTGGCACACTGTATGTAGGTTTCCTAAAAGGGGATGGCATTGTTAGCACCCCCGAGATTCATCTGTTGGAGCACGGCTCTCGCCATTACTTTGTCCAGCATGTAACGGACGCCCTGCAGCAGATGTAGACTGCAGTTCCATAGTCTAAATGAAACGAAAGCAGTTATGGCAGGCACAATCTTACCAGTTGTTGACGCAGTTTCATTCCGCAATCTCTTCCAACTGCAGAAGACACTGCACACTGTTGACGGGCAACGGTGTTGTAATCGCCGCCCTCATGTGCGATATGGCGTCCGACATGCTGCGCATCGTTTCCCTCATCGCGTCCACGTTGACTTCCAGCCATCTAAGGGCATCAGAAAGTTGAGCGTGATGTTGACTTAAAGGTTGGATGTACTGACGACAGTAAGCATGGTCTTTTGCAGCGAATCCATCCGCGATAAGTTTCTCTGATGTGAAATCGTTATAAGGAAATGGGTCACTGGTACCTGAAACAGCAGTTGTTAAGGGACACTGTGTTGCGCTTCGGTTGTTTACTGCCTGCAGATGTGAAACGACTGGAAAGGGGAAGTGCACAGCTTACAAGATGCTATCGACTTGGATTCGGCTACATCGCAGTTGTCGTGCATAGGAGCATCAACTGTATATGGTATAAATCACTGCAATCATACATTGCAAGCTTACTTTCGGCAGTTTCCGATGCACATGCGGATGGAGGGGTACGTTGAATCGTCAGCGATGACTGCGCCAACTCCTCTAGCGAGAAATCGGAGTAATCGTCATATGTAATCGACGCAGGGCTCAAAGCGCCACGGGGCCACCTATGGTTAGCCGGTTTGACGGATATCTAAAGCAAATTGGTTTCGTAGAATTTAGTGATATTACATAATTCTTTTCGGCTAAGTCATCATGGGCATGGCACTGTCTGTATTGGTCGGCGTATCTTGGTCTTCGTACAATTTCTCAGCACGTCGCGCATCACCGAAATCACCTGGGAATAGGAAGAGGAAACGGTTTTATTGTGCGGCAGATAACTTTCACATGAAACAGCCGCCAATCTTGATATGGGATGCGGTACTCCCGTACGGTTAGGTGGTATTCGAAGCGGGAGACATTTGGCAGAAATGCTTGCAGACCATCTCCAAGCTACCAACCGCTAGTGGTGTCCACTTGTGGGACATAATCAAACGTGTAAATAACTACATAAAATGCGATGTGGATATCACTCTATGAAGAAATATAGTGCATGAAGCGCGCGTTAATATTTCCCGGGAAATGGAAACGCATCGTTAAGAATTGAAGCTACGTAAGGTGTATTCCCCGAACGATATTTAGCGGGAGCCCGGATAGCAATTCCAGAAGACAGATCGAGTTGCAGTGAAACTTTTATTGGTACAGAAAAGATTCCCTGTTCACCTAACTATAAAAGAGACACCGTTAAACACTGCTAGCTAGTGGAACGCAATATACACAGCACACAAGATTGCGCATTGCAAAAGAAGCGAGTGGCTAGCAAAATGGTGATGGTACACTAAAGCAATCGATCTCAGCAACCAGTTAAACAATCTGCACCGGTCGCCTAGGTGTACAAGGAAAGAATAATTCTAGTTAGAATTTTACACAGGTAAACTTGAGAATCTCCAGATTGCTACATAACCCTCCCCCAGAAGGGATTGTGTAAGTGGCTTTTCGACCTATTCGAGGACTGTCCGTCGTGGGCCAGGCTTTTGCGAGACCAGGTTGTGAAACCTGATGTAGCTGCTGGGCGAGAAGCATGCAATCGGACCCTAGCTGCCTCCCACCTGTGTCCTCCTTACGGTGTCGAAACGTGAAAGTGTCTGTGGGGGGAACAGTTCATAAAAGTTCGAGTGCTTAAATGAGCGAGGAGTTAGTGGTACTTTCGGTTGAGTTGGGGGGGTCCGGCGGCAGCCAAGTGACAGTGTATATACGAAAAGCAAAATGGCAAAGAAGAGCGTGATTGTAAAGCTTTACACAAAAGGGTGCACGGAGCAAAATATGCGGATTTTAAAAAGGTTTTCCTCTTTTTTTGTAGTTTCAAAATGCTTTAGGTATTATTTCGTGGATTTCGGGAAAGGTTTATGTGAGCATGAAAAGATGCAAGGAATGCCCTATGAAAGTAACAAATGCTAACGAAATCGGAAAAGCGTAATGGGGGTTTACTTCCTACCATACTGGCTGATAGTGGGTAGTGAAGAGGCGACGTCAGTTGACGTTCAGCGTCTCTATGTTAGCATTATAGTCAATAGTAAAGGTTATGTCGTTTCTGCGTAGGACACGGTACGGGCCAGAATGAGGAGGTTGGAGTGGCCGGCGTATGCTGTCGGTGAGGGGAAGTTGTTGGCACGGTGTTGCTACGCAAGGAAATCTGGGCTACGCGTGGCTTACTGACGGAAGATTGAATGCACGGTCATGCGATCAGTTGCACCGTCGCTGTCTTCGCAACACAATCAGCATCCATAAGTTTACAGGCTGGCTAGCATCTGTGACGGCTGATCACTGCGTTGCATGGTCCCGCGTATGCGGTGGTGGTCGCCGATAACCAGGACATTGTTCATGCGAGAGCCAACGCACAGGTATGCACATATGTACATAAATAATCAGAGCGCAAGGGGGCGTGTTTCAGCTGATTGTTAGCACGAATTCGGTATTCGAAACATGGTAAAGAAGCATATCTATCCTAACCTAAGTGCGTTTTACCGGTGGCCTCCTAAATGTATGCGGCAAGGTTATCATAACATGGGCAGAAGCAATTTCAAAACATAGGAACTTACATAAAATGCCATTCACAGGGAAAAGGCTTATTTCATCGCCTAAACCAGTCGCAACATAAATATGCAGTTTTGTAGATGGCATACAGTGGTTATAAAGGGGTATCAAATTAATAAAAGGCATGCACGAGACATATGCCGTTTCACATAGGTTCCGTTGTACGGACATAAGTATGTGCGGATTTTTGCCAACAATGATGACGATATCAGGCACACACGCGGAGGTGTCACTTAAGCGGCAACCTAGTTTACGTTTTATGTAGATATACCTAAATGATAGACCATCTTCTGAAGGTACATTTTGCGTAGGTACCTGTGCTTGCAACTCAATAGAACGCCACAGTAGCTGAGGCATTACGTTCACAGACGTCTTAAGTGCGACTCAAAAACGAGGGCACAGAGAAGTCATCAAGAATGCCGTGCTTCTGCATAGCTTGTGCCAGATGGCTTAAGAAGTGCAGGTTAAATGTCATTTCATCTGCGCCGTATAGTTCAAAGTGGTGCCGAATAAAAAACATTAACATGCTATGTGCGAACGAGTTACACCGTCGAAACAGCAGCGGATGACAAAGTAGATAGATAGCTAGATGAAGGTCAAGGAAATTGATGTATTAAACACACGACAAAATGTGTCCCAGTAACGCAGCTCCCGCACACAAGAAAAATTGGTGTAATCCGGCTGCTTTCCACTAACGGAACTTCCTGACACATCTACAGCGCCGAGGAAAATCACGAAGTCACAAATTTTGATTGCTATGCAGGAAATCATTCGGAACTCTAATACAGTCCATATACCGGCGGAAATCTTTAATCGCTGGTGCTGTATGCCATAACGATATCATCCCCCTCATAACACTTAGGCAAATTGCATGCATATAATCGACTGGAAACCGCGCTACCATGTTAATGGGCGAATACTCCAAGAGAGACCATTTGCTGCGGTTGTGCGCACAGAACAATTTATCTGCGAGTAAATGACAGCCCGTGCAAGGAAATGTGACTTTCCCACTGACGTATGCATCTCTTTGAACACGTCGTAACTCCTATATCCCGAATGACCTATGGTGCGGCTAACAAGATCGTGCCGGTGCGTCGCATAGCACTGAGGACAGGCATAGCTGGTTTGATTCAAAGTGGCAGGGCAAAAGCACGCCGGTGCGCAACAAGTTTATCAGATCTGTTGTAAGTGCCGATAAGAAATGATTCACATTTGCAGGCTTAGTTGGTCCGGAATACACACCAAACACAAACGGAGAGACGGACCGACACGGTATTGGCCAAACCTGCACGCTTAAGGAACTGAACAGCGAAAAGCCATCAATATGCAAATGTAAATGAATCTTCTCGGACGCAGGGACATTAGTCCGCCCGTAAGCTATGATCAGCCCATTCGCAATACCCATGTGTCCATATGTACCGGGTTCGACATAGAGTTCGTTTGTACTTCTTGGCGTTCACACTAAGGTTCTATAATCCTTAGGTGACGATGGCAGGAACGGACGTAAGTCAGAAAGTAACTTAGTTACCACCGAAGCACATGTGCCCGTTTCTAGCACCCAGGCTGCCAGAAAATCCCTTGGATCACTTTTCATCCCTGCTAATGTCGTTAAATCAAACGTGACACTTTCTCCTTCATGCGAGTTAGAAGTCATTCATTCATCAGCGATGCTTTCGGTAATCATGAACAAAGACGGCAGGGAAGCTTCATCAATGATTTCATTATCAACCACGGAGGGAATTATACTGTGATCGGTGACGTGGTTGCCTACACCCGTAAAAACATTACGCATGGAACCTCACCATCAATGGAAACATCACCATAAAACGTATTATTGAAACCTAAGACAGGTGACGGAAACTGTTCTTCGTTTCTACGTAATCGAAAGAATCGTTTCCTTAAAGCGTGTTCAGAAGGTAACGCGAACGAATACCAGCACGCCTTAGTAAGCGAGGACGCATGTCTCTAACAGTAAATATGTGGCAAAACAATGTGATACAGTACCGACGATGTAGGCAAGCACCAAAGCACGAAAAACAATGGACGTACATGAGCTAGCAACGGTGGTAGGATGTGTCCGGCCGAGGGCCTCCGTTTCCGGGGCGTACATGGGTCGTGACAGACCGAGGGGGCTGAAAGGCAAAAGAGATACTTCGTAGACGGATGCATAACCACCTAGTAAGAGTCGGAGCTAGATAGAGGTGTGCCTGCGTTACACCCCGTAGCGACCTGGACAGCATTGCCACAGCTGCCGATGGAAGACCGAGCGAGAGGTGACTTGATGGATGGCTGCTCTTCGATACTAAGTATGAAGAGGGAAGGTACAGAGAAGAGGAAACGAGACAACATTTCACCTGTTACCTTGTTACGACGATACTGTGACACGCTACATTATCCCCCACTTATGAGGCGTTGTCCACGCCTACACCAGTGCAAGTTCACGTGGGACTGGAACGGTGGGAGAATCTAGTGAGTGTTCCTTTTTGAGTGCATTGTTGAGCCGGGAATTGATAAAGTGCTCAGTTATTGATGCAACTAAAACGGAAAACCTGTATTGCACCTTGGTCAACTAATTAATGCCCACGTTTCCTGCTCTATCAGTTCTTACTGTGACAGTCACCTGAAGTAAGCGAAAGATAGGAAGAGAAATCAAAAATACAGAACAAGGAAGTTCACTGGAAATAAGAGGATAATACCAGTGCATGAAGAAAAGAAAAGCGAAATATGAGGATGCGAGTTAGTCAGGAAAACGTTCCGTGTTGCCACCTAAGGGTGTCAAGTTGCCGCTCAAACCCCTTAACCGTAGATTCCCTGATAACACTTGCTGGAAGTATGTTACTGCGCTCGATGACTCCGCGTAACAGCCGAATTTCCGCACTAATCCGATACGGTCGCGGCTTGTCCAGCTCCAAGGAATGACCGCGTAGAACAGACAATTCAGCAGGACCGAATAAACAGGATAAATCTGG